GATCACATGATACATGATTTTAATCTGCCCCATTACCAGCGATGTTAACTTGACTAAGGCGATGTCTGCCAGGCTTCTCCACTGTAAAGTTATTCTTTTCCCCTTAGTAGTTAATAAATATTTTGTGGGGAGTTATTTTGAGGCTACATAAATATCTTGTTCCTCAACAAACTTTCAATTTATTCCTTTATTTATTTATATCAGTATGTACATATGGCTTCCTATTTTATTAGATGGGTTATCATCCAAAACTATCATTGCTTATTTTGATGTTCAAATTGTCCCCAATTTGGCTAGTGGAAACTCCTTTGAGCTGGTTTCTGTGTCCTTTTGACATGCCCTCATCATTCTTTAAGCATGTCTAAACATAAAAAAATGTTTTAGGTTTATCTCTTTTTTCCCTTTGAATCAACCATTTCTCCACAGTCCTGGTTTCTTCAAATGAAGACTGGTATTTAGTATTTAGATCTGGACATTAGATATACTCACTGTCATTTCCCTACTCCAAGAGTTTAAGGCAATTCCTTATATTTTCCTCTATTACTTTTATAATTTCATTTACTGTATTTGAATCTTTAACTCTTTGGAAATATAGTTTGATGTGAGATATTAGTCCCAAATGATTAGGCCCATTAATTTGAAAACCATCCCATTATAAAACTTATGCTTGTTCATCAAACGTTCAAATACACAAAACATACAAGAATAAAAAAAATTCCAAAATCTCTCACCCAGAGGTGAACATTGTTAACAGGTTGCTGAGCATCCTATCAGACATCTCTCTGTACCAGCACTTTTTTATGTTATTGAGAAAGACTACTGCAGGATGTTAAGAAGTATGCTGATAAAAGTTTTTCGTTTTGAAAAGGGAGTATTTTTCCAATAAATAAATGTAAAAAGTGTTATTATTACTATGTTTTTTTTTTAATTTTGGAATTTCACTCACGGCCTTTCAAATACAAACGTATACTGTGAATCTCTTAGATCATCTAAGAAGGGGATTTAATTTCAGTCTTTCATGAGCTTATTTGACTGCATATTGGTAAGTTTTTTGAACCTAAATTAACACCACCTGAATTAGTGTTAGAAAAAAATTTGGGGGCCGAGCCCGTGGCGCACTCGGGAGAGAGTGCGGCGCTGGGAGTGCAGCAGCGCTCCCGCCGCGGTTCGGATCCTATATAGAGATGGCCGGTGCGATGCACTTCCAGTGAGCGCGGTGCAGCCGGTCACAAAAAGGAAAAAAAAAAAAAAGAAAAAAATTTGGGATAATAAGCTATATAAAGTTTTACGTAAATAGAATTGTGCTATTTATCTTATTTCTATAATTTGCTTTTTCACTCCATTGTATCTTGGATGCTAAACCTAGTAACCACCCCATATCTCCTATGCAGAAAAAGCTGCTGAAGAGCCTCCCCTCTATAGCCATTGCTGCAGTCTTTGCAGTTACCTTAGACCTTAACAAAAGCTACAGTGCCCACCACCTTCCAAAGGATCATTGGATTTCCCTTGGAAGGCAGTGGGTTCCTGAGCCTCATTCATAAAGCTGCAGCCAAAATCTTTTCTTCAATATTTGGGAGGTGTGGCTGGTGTCCTCTTTGTTCTTCAATGCAACGTTCAAATCACTCTATCTCCTCCACTTTCTAGCAAGACAAAACAAACAAATCCGTGCTTCTTTTATATCTAGCCAACCATAGCCATTCCCCTTTTAAGTTGCAATCTTTATCAAACTCCTGGACGTTTTCCTCTCTGTTAATTGAAGACTTTGCACCTGGTATATAATCTGGTGTCTGACGAGGGCTCACCTTTCGGGTTGCAGATAGCAGCCCTCTTGCTGTGTGGTCACATGGCCTTTCCTTAGTGCATGCTCAGGAAAGAGTGAGAGCTCCAGTGTCTCTCCCTCTTTATAAGGATATCAATCCCATCAGACCTGAGCCCCACCCTGGTGACCTCATTTAAACCTAATTACCTCCCAAAGGCCTCATCTCCAAATACAATCACATTGGGGGTTAGGGCTTCAACATAAGAATTTGGGGGGGACATAATCATTCAGTTAGTAGAAGTAGGGTAAACAGTATGTTAGTTGATTTGTTAATCAATAAGAAAGCTAAGACACTGTACCCCCCTGAAAAATGATAACATCTTTCTAGTGAGGAAATTGAACTGTGCTTAGACATACCTGTTAGTAAAACTTAATTCAAAACAATGCCAAATTAAAAAAATCTTAGACTACAGAATTATTTTCAAAATCAGCTTTCTTATCATTATTTTGTGACTCAATTATCTGATTTATGACAGTGAAATATGAATACAAAACTGGCTTGATAATATTATTGTGATACATCTAAGGTTTTTATACCCAGGTTTTAATTTGAAAATTTAAAGTGTATTTATATGAACATTTCCCTTAGGCAAACCTACTAATAATTATAAATTAGTTACTGCAAATTTTAAATGATCTCTACTTTTTCTTATTGTAAAAAAACCAAACATTACATGTTTCAACAGTGTCTTCAGAATTATGAAATTATATATTATATCCTCACATATGACAGTGGGACACGGCTATATCCTCTAGTCTTAATTATAGGAAAAATATAGACAACTGTAAGGCCTAGCTTTATTGTTTTATAAATGAGCCAGTAAAGTTCATTTTAGTGAAATGAGCACACACTTTTCATAAATTAAAATAAATTTCACATGGTAAAGTACCTATCTTCAAAATTAATTTAATTACATGTTTAAAGTTTAATTATATTTAATTAAGCATTTATGTTTAATATGAAATAAATGAATTATCAGTTAACTACTATGAAATGAAATACTGCCTTGATAATTAAAGTCTATAAATTTTCCCATTCTGTGCAAAACTGTTAGTTCTCCAAAAACATTCAGAAAATATACATTTAAAACACTATAGGATTATATCCTCACAGCTGATCTGGTGTAATTTTTCTGGCACCTGGGTTGATCGGTTGAACATTTACTGCCTCAGTAAATGGAGGCAGTATGGTATAGGAAAAAAGAGCAGAGGTTTTAGAAACTTGGGTTTGAGTGTTAGCACAGTTACTCAGTCTGCAACAATGGAAGGTTACTTAGCAACTCTGACCTCAAGTTTCCTATACAATGGGAATAATATTACTTCTCTTGGAAGGCTGGGGGGAATTAAATGAGATATCCCATGGTCAAATGCCTGGAACAGTGCCTGACCTAGAGTAGGTATTGGCAAATGTTAATTCCCACCTTCCTTCAGTTGTTGAATGAATAAATAAAAATCTTGTACTTTCTGGTGTAAAAGAAGTTTTGCCATCAAAATATATTTTTTGATGACAGAAGTAACACTGTATTATTTTTTGTTTAATAAGTTGTACTTAATGTACATTTTAGTTATTTCCCTAAACATTCCAAGCATTCCAAGAATGGAGGCAGTATAGCATTATTGTTAAAACAGATTTTTGAGTCAGAGAGAACTGACTTTAAATCTGGGTTCCACCATTTACTGTTTGAGAAATTATGGAAAAGTTATTTTAATCTATTTCCCAAGCCTGCATGTATATATATGTTTGGTTCAATGTGTGGCATAACTGGGAACTTGTATAATCAATGTAATCTTTCGACCTGAACAAAAAATTAATGATGTTAGTAGTGCAGCTGGTATTCCCCACCCCCCTCTGATTTCCACGATTGGTTTTCACTGAATTTACGAGCTTTTCCCAAGGTTAACAGTAGGAGGAACTCAGTAGCAAAACCCTGATTTTTAAAAAAATTCCTTTATCAGTGCTCTTTTCTCCATTAACACAGGAAGATAAAGGTGAAAGACACCAAAATTTTCTGAAGTAGTGAAGCAAAAAGAAAAGGAGATAAATCTGAAAGATTAAATCTGGTTCTAAACATAACAACTGAGCCTTACATAAATCACTCTGGTGAATTTCAGTATCTTCTTCTGGAAAATGGGAATACATACTTTTATACCGTTAATATAAGGATTAAACAAGATAAATGCAAAGTTTGTAGTACAATGACTGGCACTTAGTAGTCATTCATTAATGGTAGCTATTAATACTAAGACAACATCAAAACACCATTTCTGCTAAGTTTCTTGCCATAGACTGGTGAACCCCATAAAAAAGTGAACTTTTTTTGAAACAGATTTAATAAGAAAAGTAGAATAGTCTTCACTAAGTTCTCAGGTGTTATTTGAAGAAAAGAGACCACAGATTTTTAAGTCATTTTAGTTCACAATTTCCTGCTTACTAAATCTCATTTAATAACTCATTTTGAAAATGATAGTTTTACAATGCTAAGGAAAATAGAGGCGACAACCTATTCCATGGCTTACTGCAATAAGAATGGAAATTGATTGTTCTTTAAATACTTTATAAGTTATTCAATACAAAGTCCTGTAATATTCAGAGTTCTGCCTTAATAAAGTTATTAGCAGTATAAGCATGCTGGGTTGTTTTAATACTTAAAACTCTTCACTGTAAAATCAAACTCTAAATCCTCTTGTTACCTAAAATTATACAGATTGTTTTATTTATTCCATAAGTAGAAGTATTGGAAAACATTAACTTGTTTACTTTCTGACAGAGTGCTTATCAAAAAACATTGAGCAAGCTGCATTACTTTATATCATTTTCATTGCTATTATTATCAATAAGTATTTATCAGTTATCTATTTGCATTTGGGGCTGAAAGACTCTGATTTAGAACATTTTCTTGAAAATAAAACAAGCAGGTATTGTGAATTTGGTATCCAGACTTTTCAAGTTGCAAATAAGAGTAAGAGGTCAAACAGCTACAGGACCAAAAGAAAAAGAAAACCACACATAATGAAATATTATGAAACATATGTACAATTAAGGTTACATATTATGTAGAAAACTAACATTTATTACTGGGATATATATCCTTAGATATGCATTCTTTCAAAAGATGTGGTAAAAATGCATTCGATTAATCTTTGAAATCAGAATTTGCTATTACATGGGACATTAACTTACCAGGGTTCTACTTTAAGAGGTGAAGATATTTTTTCTGGAAGAAAAAACCCATGCCATTTTGAAGCCTCAATTAGTTCTTGTGGTATCCTTTTTGATGCATCATAATAGTGACCAAATCTTGAAGATGATGTTGGTTTAACCTGCTATAAAAACCATATTGGTTTTTAAAAAATATTTTTTAAACTACAATTTATTTGTCCTATATCCAGCAAAACAATAATATACTTATGCATTTTAATGCTAATAAAGAAGAGACAATATACACATACTTTTTCAATTTCAAAGAAGCATACAACACTCTTTATTATTTTGAACTATCTATAGTTAGAAATCAACCTTTTCATCTCTCATGTTTCTTTACTTATAGTCGTTCTGTAAGTTTGATAAGGATTTACACACCTGTTTTTTTTTTACTATACTGTTTACCTTCTTAAATTCAAAAACTTAATATATACAATTCCTAATTAATATGCAAGATTCCACGTTTTAGTGACAAATTAAATACACAGTATCTAATAACTAAACAAAAACTTAAGCCAAATTAATTCATTGAGGGGCCCAAAAGAAACAAGCTATTTAAATACATGAAACAGAGTATCATTTTAAAACTAAATTCTCACAAGACAATGCATATGCATATTCTATATTTCTTACAAACCTAAAATTAAGCTTATAGCATAAAATGTACTGCAATACTCCATACAGAAACAAGGCACATGACTAAGTGGAAGAATGCATAAAAGTTACATTAGATCAATCGAAACCTGGCATGATCATTAGTTCATTGATAATTCCTCTTTTGTGTTCTCTACTAACAATTTCTCCAACAAATTATCTTTCTCATAAGAAACTCTAATAACTATTGACACTGAATTTATTTACACAGTATAGTAATGTCTACTAATATATTATTATTAGAGTGTTTTGAATGAACTCCCGGCTGATTTCTTTCATTCAACATATTAGAAATATATATACAGCTCTAACCAAAGCTGAACTATTAACAAATTCCACCTGGCAATAATTTCTAATAAAAGCTTTGAATTAATCTTATATAATTTCCATGGTCCTGAAAGCTACAAAATAGAGAAGTATCAGAACATTCAACAAAACTTGATAATCTCTGCAGAAATTGAAGAACTACATATAGTAGATCCTTATCTTACTAAGTAACAACTTTTTAATTTTAGATGAGAAACACATATTTGCTTGGCAATAGATATTTGTATTTAAAAAACTTCATGAATTCATATTCTTAAATTCCTACAAACATCAAATTATGTAGTAACATGGAATAAAACATTTTAAAGTCTAATAGAAATGCTTTTCTCAGATTCAGAGTCCACAGGTTTGACATTTAGTTTCTAAATAAAATGACTGCTCATCCCTCCATAAGGTACTATTTATTTTCATTAATGAAAGAGATCTATTAATTGGCTTCAATCTAATCTTTCAATGCAATACGTACAGAATTATTGTGCTCAAAACATAATTTGTCCATTTGCCATGAGAGTATTAACAAATAAATTATATATGTTCCTTAAAAATAGGGTGTGAAGTTTTAAAATGTAAAGTTATTAGTCCAAAGCAATTTAAACAAGGTCTGTTCTTTGGCCTATAATCTATTCTTTATCCGGATTATAGATCAGAATGTTTTTACTGCAATCTCTGCTAGAGCTCATCTTTTTATTGTGTAAGTCCAAGCCCCCTTAATGTTTTAGAAAGGCCTTGACTAACTGAACTTTGATCTGATGTCTTCATTGAGAAAAACACCAGGTTGCCCATTTTAGATGCAAATCCCCCTAAGGCCCAATAGAATTTAGTAAAGACAGCAAAAAAGAAGAAACCAGAAGTTTCCAGGATCCTCTTTGAGAATCCTGGGGCACACTGGTGTCCTTAATCCATGCAGCATGGATTAAGGTAGGTGATAACCTTTCCTGATTCAAAAGAATAAGCAGAGTGCCTACAAACTGGGTGGAGACTAGGATTTGGCTATAATAAAACACCATGCAATAAAAGCTTGGTCTATGTCAGAAGCCTCTGAAAAGGCCTCAATGTACCACATTCCCAGGCCTAGTAGGGAAGCTTGCAAAAGCCTACCTGAATCAAATAAGCATGAATAATCTATTTTAGCAGACTGGCCCTGGGGAGAGAGAAAGAAAGAGAGACTTTTCACTTCTTTTAAGTTTGAGTTAATAAATTTATTAGTGGACTGAAGGTTCCTGAAGTCCTATGCACTTGGAGAAATATGCTAAATTGCCAAGAAGCAAAGTATGCTTTTTAAATTGCCATCTGTATTAATGTTTCTAATTGCAATATTAATGTCATAGAAATCTCAGATTTGGGATGAATCAAGGCAGAAAATTGATCTCATGCTGTGACAGTTTATATACAGAACACAAATAATTCATAAAAGTATAAAAATAAAATTGGAAGCTTTTCCAATTACAATTAAGTTATTAATTAATTTAGAAGTTAAATTTAGATATGGTAGCTAAAATATTCACATGGTAGACATGAAAATTTCATTACTTATGAATAACTTTAATCTCTCAATAAAAAGATAAAATAAAAGTAAATATATTCTTAGAGGAAAAAACAATTTTGCAAGTTTTTTCTACCTAAGACACATAGCATTAAAATATAACCAGATTTTTGAAACACTGAAATCTTTTCAGGCCTAGACCTGTAAAATAAAGACTTAAATATTTCCTCTAAAAAGATAACTAAATGATGTAAATATAATAATAACAATAACAATAACAATAATAATAATAATAATAATAATAATAATAATAATAATAATTGATAATTATCCACAAAAAACTGTCATCAATTCCATAAAAAAAATCAGGCTATCATCAATAATTAGTTTATTTAGTTTGGGAAGAACGTGTTGTTTTAGTTTTACATTATGAAAACTTCTATTTCACGTTCATATACTACCTTTTAACTTTGTCATCTGCGGAAGAAAGTAAAATGGAATGGTTCAGTAAAAACTTACTATGCTAAAAGAAAATGAACTCTGACGGAGATACAGGAGGAAACAGAGCAACAAAACAATACCATATTCCACCTCCAGTGTGTTAAAAAGAAGCAAAACTTTCAGAGAAAAGCTGCACCACAAATAAATAGTCATATTATATAAGACATTTTTTTTTTTTTACCATTTCTTGTTCCTCAGTACAGCATAACAGAAAGCAAGGACCCACATAGTTACTAAACCACTTTGAGCCTCATTTTGATCACTAGAAACCAGAGTTAATAATTATTTTACTAGGCTGTTGTGAGAATCTAATGCAATACTGGCAATGAATTGTAAATTGTGTATATTACATAAATTGTGAATCGTGTAAATTGTAAAGCACTACATAATGTTGTTAATTATATTATTGTGTAATGACTTCCTAGAGAATTCGAATATTCATCACTGTCCTTCATAATTACATTGGCCTACTGAAAAAATGATATTTGTTGGTCATCTGAACCACTAAGATAAAAGGCTAAAGTGTAATGAGAATTTAAAATTATAAAGACCTAATACACTGTCATGAATTGCTGGAGACACTGTAGGCCATGGTAGAGCTCTACAATACTAAAGAAATTAAATCTCAGAATATACTGTAGGCTAGCAATTCATGGGGTGAGGAGGAACTAGGGATGGATGATTAGACAGGGCATGTCCACCTTGGAGGGAGAATCAAAATCACATGGTGAAGGAAGGGGAGCTTTTTAAAACTATATACTTTTTCAACTGGATGAAGCACTGTTTTATACTTTACTGAGCTATTGTTATTGATTTACGTCTGTATATTCTTATCCTTTTTTGCATTCCCTAAATGGGAACATTACTACACTCTTAAGACTTGGTGACTAAAAGGCCTCTCTGATAATCAACGCACCAGTTTTGGACCACGTGTTTAATTTTAAGCCATAATTATATTAAGTGCATTTTGTCTCATGTAAAATATAGAAAACCCAAGGTTTCTTGTTTTTTTTTTTTTTAAACTAAGAATGGTAAAGTAAGGCTTAGATTTATAAAGTAGATGATGATGAGTGATCACCAAAACCTATCAGTTTTGGCAAATCATCATATATAAAATTACTACGACAGGTGAATATACATGCTTGTGATGTTTCAAAGAAAAGCAAAGAAGCCAGAGATAATTCTATTTTCTCAACTTGACAGACCTCACTTGTAAATACAAGTAAACTTAAGTTTGACCATTGACTATAAACTTAAAATATTATTTTATTTATATTAATTAATGCAACTTAACTCAGTTTAACATTTAATTTAGATTGTATACTTCATTCATTCATGCATCTAACAAATAACTATTGAGCAACCACTATATGCCAGTAAAACAAAATAGTCAAAGCCCTTTTCTTCCATTGAGCTCACATTTTAATAGAAGGAGCAGATAATAGATAAATTATCTGCTAGCGTTAATGATGTTAAGTGCCTTGAAGAAAAATAAAGCAATGAAAGGAGATGACAGAGAGAGAGCAGTTTTATTTTATATGGAGTGACAAAGGAAGTCACTCCTGAAAAAGTAATATTTTAGCAGACATCTGAAGAAAATGGAAGAATAAGTAATCTGGAGAAGATCGTTGTAAGAAGAGCACAACTTTCAAAACACTCACACCTTAAACCTAGAAAACTGACCACTGGATTTTTTAATATACAACCTTGGGGACGTTTACCCCCATAGATAATCAAGCTGACAGCAGGTACATCATACTCTAAAAGGAGGAATGGAATAAGCATTACTCACACATGAAAGAGGGCAGAAATAGTATCTATAATTATAATTTATAAAGAAACAATGAACTTCTAAAGAAACAAATAATTTTCTCTCGTACTAGAAACAAATTTCATAACAAGCAGTAAGAGAGAAGGCTTAAAATTTCAGTTTCAGTTGCATTTTCACTACAATTTCACTTGAAGATTGTTAATGATCAATGAAAAGAACAAAATTTAGCTGAGATAAGGGTAAAAAAAAAAGAAAATGGAAGAAACAAGTTATACGTAATCTAAAACTGAATTAGTATATTATCTTTAGCAAAAAGCTAAATTTAACTTAGAGTGTATGTTCATTACTGACTTTTTGGAACACAGCAAAAGAATAATTAGAACATAGTCTCTCTTCACAAGTCACAATTAAGCCCAGTTACTTAAATGAATCCGCCAGAGTAAAGACAAGAAGGTCTTTGCTGTTAGGGTTTCTCAAGTGCTAGTCCTACATCTCTTACCTGCTTTAATCTCTATCACTTAACTCACATTTTCCTAAACAGACTAACTACATTTATTCTGGTCTCCTGTATTAGGTTCTCAATTACATACAAACTACAACTTTTGATTATATAGAATTTCCTTTTCTTTTTTAATAGAAATGTGTAATATTCTACTCTTGAGGTATACCATAACTTATTTAACTAATTGCTATGGATATTTAGATTATTTTTAGTCTTTTGCTATTAAAAATATGCTGCATGAATAGCTTATACATATTTCATTCTACATCTGAATAAAAATATTCATGACGTAAATTTCCAAAAGGATCAAAAGATAAATGTTTTTGTAATTTTGAATTTGGTGCTAACCAAATTACCCTCCACAGAAGTTGTACCTAATTTACATTTATACCAGCAAAGAATGAGAGTACTAGTGTTCTTGAACTCTTGCTAATACTATCTAACTAAACATTTTAGATCACTGTCAATCTGATAAGAGAAAAATGGCAGGTCAGTGCAGGTTTAACTTGCATTTCTCCTATTAAAACTAAAATGGGCATCTGTTTTTGTATGCTTAAGAGCCACTCAAATTTCCTTCTTATATTTTTGCCCATTTAAAAAAATTGTGTTGTAAACTTTTCCTTATTCATTTTGGAAGTTAATTGCATATAAGGAAAATTAGTCCTTATTCTATGATTTACAAATGTCCTCTCTACAGTTTGTAGTTTTTCAGTCATTTAAATCTCACCTTAAAAATTGTGTTATTCAAATAGTTTCCACATCTAAATTAGGACAATTCACCATTGCTTAATATGCACCCATTACAACATGTTTTATACCTGCTACACAGCTGGAGCTTAATCAATATTTGCTGACTGAATGAATAAATACATTTATCATTCACTAAACATTTATTAATTATTTGGGCATTAATATAGGTGCTGAAGATATGAGTATATGAGACAATAAAAAAAGTTCTCTGCCCTCACAGAGAATTCTCAGTCTGGTAGAGGAGAAAGTAATACTAACAATTAACTATAAAACAATGTGAAAGGAATACTTTAAAACATATTAAGTACTACAGAAAAAGATAAGAAAGTAGATAATTATGTATGGAAAGCTCAGATAGTAACATGTGCACTTGGAGAATGATGACTTGGTGAATAAGAAAGTAAAAAGCATTACCAGCAGAAATACAAGCAATTCACGGAGCAATTCTCATAGGATGAATAAATATAGTGTTTTATATACACAGGGGGTAGATGCCAAAAAGTTAGGCTCGGATGAGGTTGTATAGATTTTGTATACAATATTAAGTTTGTATTTCATATTACAGGCTTCTAATAGTAAACAAATTTTATTCACATACTTTTATTAACTAACTGGTAGTGACCTCACAGAACATTCTGCCAAAAAGAATTCTAAGGCTGTGTCTGAGCTTGGCAAGAGAGTACTAGGATTGATAGTCTGCCATACATTAAGGAGGGGGTGGTGAAAATAGGAAATCAAAGGAGGCATTTGAAGTCAAATAACAAAGATATTTCTATCCTTAGGAAAGGTAACACTGATGTCAACATGGAAGACTAGAGAAGAGTGGGCTATGGGAACTATGTCTTATTCAGATTAGAATTTTCCTGTCTTTTCTACTATTATGATAATGTCTGGTAGACATTAAAGTGTTCTGAAAAGTGAATGAAGTAAACAATCAAATGAGGGTGCTAATAAATAAACAGAGCCTTCATCAGGAGCAGAATATATGAGCTATAGTGGACAAATTTACTGACATCTGTTTGGACTTCCCAGATATTTTCCCTTCATATTGTCTCTTAGTCTATTCTGGATAGTTGAGGTTAACAGATAGCTTAGTTTGAAAATGTAATGGTTGAAAATGTACTCGTACAGTAATAAAAATAGTAATTCCAAAGAACCACCACTTACAACAAACAGTTATAGATAAACGTACTGGATAGAAATGGCTTAATTTCTCTGGCTTGCAATCCTAGAATAAAGGATTCTACATGGAAATTATGGAAGAAATGAAATAATCTATTTTGGTAAAAAAAAAATTGCCATAATTTTATTTGTAAAAAATGTCATCTTGATCAAATATTCTACAAACAAAACATCTAGTTATTTAAATAAACAAATATACATTGTACTACATTTAAAGAATAACAGGTATACCACAAGAGAGTCTATTTAAAAAAAATGCATTTGCAAATTTTAGAAATACTTTGTATGTTGACTTGCCTCCATCTTGGGTAACAACTGGTAACGCCAAGCTATTTTCATCTTAATATTAGATTCCAGTGTTTTACAATTGCCTTCATCTTTATCAAATTCTTTTTTACTATTTTCTTCAATTAATGGCGCAGGAAGTTCCTAAGAAAACAGAATAACACATTATTCAACCCCTGTGGTAAAACATGAACAATTTTTAAAAATATTAGCAGCACTAGAACTTTCCAATGTACTGAAAATTGATGCTTTAAAATTAACTTAAAAATAAAGTCATGACAATATTGACATTTCTAAAACAGGGAAAAGTAGTCATGGATGACCTCTTTGACAAGGTCAAAACTGATGCAGATGAGATGATTCTATATACAGTTCTACATACAATTAATTGAAATTCCGTACAATATACTACTATAGATACTCTACATGTAGATATGGTACCATCTATATATTATCAATAATCTTTCAGAAATATATCTATGCTATTCCCCAGATCATGATACAGTAAAAAGAGCACTAATGTTTTTTTCTAATTTTTAGCTTTATTAAAATTTACATTTCATTTATTGTTGCAGTCATAAAACTGCATTCCATACGAGCACTAATGTTAAGAGACTGAGGTATGTGAAGGAACCAAGAATCTGAAATTTAGTCTTACTTTGTTTATCACATGTATATGTAAAACCTATGGTACAGTACGCAAGAGGTACATAAAAGAGGACTAGATAATCTTTACAGTGTATATTTTTATATAGCTCTCTCTTCTCTGAATTCCCATTTCACATTCATCTGTGATAAATATTTTGGTATTTGTTCCCATGCAGATTAATATTCATCAACATTTCACATACATATAATCTCATTTTCCCACTGAGCCTGTAAATTTCTTGAGGGTTAGGGATTATATGTAACATATAATTTTTGCACTTTTTATAAAACCAGCACCATACCATAACAAGTACGAAAGAGATACTCAATGGATACTTATTGAGCTGAACCATAGAAACTTCCTGGATGAATCTCAGTGGGTCTATTTTGTGCTGTTCTCAAGGACATTAATACCACAGCTTTCTCTGAGCTTCTTATGTTTTATGCACTAATTTTCGTCTATCCCTATTAAGTTGCAATTCTTTCTCAGCCCAAGTGATAACTACATGTTTTCCATTTCATATATTACTTTACTGCAAAATTTTCAACTTGTAGTTCATAATCTTGAAAAACATAAAGAGTTTTCCAGCATACATATTCTAGAATGTTTTTAAAAAGGAAAAATAATTAAAAAAATAACTTCAAGCAATGTAGGAAAGTACAAAGAATTAGCAACCAAGGAAATGTACATTAAAACCACTTATCATCTCCCACCCATTAGACAGGCAAACAAACAAAACGTCTAAAAATACCAACGTTGTCAAGAGAGCAGAGAAACTCTCACTCACTGCCAGTAGAAAGTTAACAGTTTACCAGTTTTACTACTGTAAAAAAACTTTAGAGAACAATTTGGAAGTTGTGAAAATCTCACAGACATGCACAAAGAGACACACGATCATTGAGCATTTTAGTAATAAAATGATAGAAATAACTTAATTATATATCAATAGGAAATAGATTAATAAACTTATATAAACATAAAATAGAATAATATATTATTATAAAGAATAAGTGAGATTGATATGAAGTAGCATGGATAGATCTAGAACATAATGTTGAATGAAAAAATCATGTTGAGTGACATAAACAGCATGATAGAGTTTGTGTAAATTTTTAAAAACCCACAAAGCATATATAGAAACATATATGTTAATAAAAGTACATATAAATTTATGCAATTAGGTTGGACCCTGACTTCTTGTTTTGTTTGCTACAACTGATTTTTTGGAGTATTTAAAATAAATTTTTGCTTGGTAATGTAGGAAAGAGTGTATGATCCAAATTTGGTACTCTGACATCAACCTAAAATCCCTATATTCAGTAATTCTTAGAGAGACTTTAGGAAAATTTATAACATGGAGAGTAAGGAAATAAATACTCATTACCTTGCCATAAGGAATCTAATTGGATATTCTGTTTTGAGCATTTTAACCATATAAAAACTGTCTTCTGGACTGGCCCATTAGCTCAATTGGTTAGAGCGCAGTGTTATAACACCAAGGTCAAGGGTTCAGATCCCTATACCCACCAGCTGCCAAAAAATAACAAAAACAAAAAACTTTCTTGTTACTCAGATTGGTTGATGGGCATCATTCTATTTCTGAATTAAATCTGTAAATTAAAAATTATTTTAAAATAAATTATCTTAAATTTCTTGTTCCCAACTATTTTTCTGTCTTTATGTATTCATATAGGTAATATAATCCCATGAATATTTTGTATTGCTTGTAGGGGACAGGATAAAACTTGTAGAATGTTAAAAGAAAAAAAAAAAAAAAAAGAAAAAGGAAAAAGCTTGGAGATTTTTATATTCTCAACCCTTTCCTCTGCTCCACAGCCTATCCGCAGGGTAGAGAGCCACTAATTTTATTTCTGAAATGAAGAAATAAACAAACATTTTAATAAAATACTATAAGAACTTAAATTTAGTAAACTGCTATTTTCATATGTAATTGTATAAAACTTGTTTTTCTTCCATTGTCTTTTTCTGCATCTAACAAAAGGCCCTACATACCAATTAAAATATTTTATGATCTGAATTAGTTTTGTTAATCTCAGTTATAAAAACATATAGCTGTTTATGAAACCACTAGTCTAAAATTATGCTGTTCAATATGGTAGCCTCTAGCTACATGTGACTATTTAAATTTTTATTAATTAAAATTAAATACAATGCAAAATTCAATATCTCAATTGCACTAGCCACATTTCAAGTGCTCAAGAGCCACATATGGCTAACAGCTACTCTATTCAACAGAAAAGGTACAGAACATACGCCAACATCACTGAAAGTTGTAATGTCAGTTCTTATCTAGTAAATGGGAAGCATATTCATTTATTTACCTAATATTTAAAATTGTTTACTGTGTGAGGTTTTACAACTGTCAACAACACATTTTACACTTATGTCAACCAGAATTTTGAAGACGTATCACAACTTAATTGTTTAAAATTAAAATTAAGAGATAATTATTTTATTTTTCAATACCTAAAAAAATTGATGCTTTCCTGTCTCTCCCACCCTGCATCTTACACACAATTAATCCTGTAACAGATCATGAACTGTCTTCTTTGCTCAGGCACTGTTTTCTGTGTATCTTACCCTGCAGCTCTATTATTTTTCCCCACCTTTTCAACAATTTAATACATACCTTATATATTATGTATTTTTATTAGCTGATTCTAATCCTTTATGGAACAAGGCAAACCAGAAATACTTTTTAAAAGTAATTTCCTACTGGTTATCTATAAGACTGATAGATATTTCAAAACCCAACACACATTTTATGTAACCTACAAAGAAGATGTTTAACTATTTTTTCCTATATCTTTTTAACTTATAAAAATAGTACCTCACCTTCCTAGAAAAAATTAACATTTATTGGATAGCTATTGAATTTACAAGTGGTAAATGTTCAACACAGAAAATTATAAGATATAGAAATATGAAAAAAGAAAACAATCACTCATTTAACCTACCACCCAGGAATAATCACTCTGAACCTATTTGAATATTTCCTTCCAGGTTTTTATATATAAATATACATATATTTTTACAAAACACATATTGCCTATTATGTATATTATGTTATTCTATATTTTTAACTTATGATATTGTGAGCATTTCCACATTTAATCATTTTTCAAAAGTAAGATTTTCAGTGGCTACATATTACATCACCTAATCAAAATTCAATTTATTATTTCTCTTTTGAATCTTTAGATTGTTTGCAATCTAAAAATGCTATAACACACAGTTGTTTATAACAAACATCCTTTGCATCTCAAATTACTATTTTTCTTTCTTTTTTTTAAATCCCCCTTCTCTTTATTTCTTTACTGAACATAGTTAAGTTGATTGAATATATCTGTGGGAGTTGAATATCGATAACTGTGTGTAATATGTGATCCTCAAATAAGGATAATTAGTATATTCAACATTGTACAATGTAATTGTTTTTCGTGCCTCTTTGCCAATTCCTTCTTTATTCCCTCTTCCATCTCCATAACCTCAGTTCTGTTGTCTCAGTTCTGTTGTCTCTTTTTGAAAGTTCAACATGTTATTGTGATTGTTGTAACTTTCCATTTGTCTTTTTTTTTTTTTTCTTAGCTACTATTTAGGACTGAGGACATCCGGTATTTCTCTTTCTGTGCCTGATTTATTTCACTTAATATAATTTTCCCTAAGTTCATCCATGTTGCTGTGAATGGCAGTATTTCATTCTTTTTTATGGCAGAGTACTACTCCATTGTAAATATACCACATTTTCCTTATCTAGTCATCTGACAATGGACAATTAGGCTGGTTCCAATTCTTGGCTATTGTAAATAGAGTTGCAATAAACATGGGAGTGCAAGTATTCCTTCAACATGATGATTTCCACTCCTTTGGGTGTATACCCAGCAGTGGAATTGCTGGATCCTATGGAAGTTCCATCTATAGTTGCTTGAGGAAACTCCATACTATTTTCCATAATGGCTGCACCAATTAACACTCTCACCAACACTGTAAGAGGGTTCCCCCTTCTTTGCAACCTCACCAGCACTTGTTAGTCTCTTGGTAATAGCCAGTCTAACTGGGGTGGGATGATATCTCAATGTGCATTTACCTGATGCTAAATGATGTTGAACATTTTTTCTCGTGTCTGTTGGCCATTTGTAAATCTTCTTTGAGAAATGACTATTCAACTCCTTTGCCCATTTTTTAACTAGGTTATTTGTTTTTTTTACTGTTGAGTTCCTTGTATATTCTGGATATTAATTCCTTGTTGGAGGCATAGTTTGCAAATATTTTCTCCCACTCCGTAGGTTGTCTTTTTGTTCTGGTAATTGTTTCTTTTGCTGTGCAGAATCTTTTTAGTTTGATATAATCCCATTTGTTTATTTTTCCTTATGTTGCCTGTGTTTTTGGAGTTATATTAATTAAGTCTTTTCCCAGTCCTCTTTCCTGAAATGTTTCCCTTATGTTTTCTTTTAGGAGTTTTATAGTTTTAAGT